AACAAATCTGAGTTTGTCCTACATACAAGAGTGCGAAAAAAAAAAAAAAAAGTGACTCCTCAAAGCCAATAGGATTTTGGCACCTAATGGGAATGTCAATTGTGAGTTAAACACAGAAAATAGACAATAATGCCTAAATCACATCTCAGTTCTCCAGCATGAAATAGAAACACCATCACTGTATTTGGCTGGTGATCAGCAGATGCAGTAAAGAGTTTTGTTTTTTGTGAATAGAAGCAAAGTGTTGCCCTGTATCACCATGAGCTGATCACCAAGTGTCCAGTGCTCCCTCTAAGGAGCAGCTGAACTCAGCACATGGAATCTGCGAGACCCTGTGGACTCTTCCCCCCTTCACCCCAAAGAGGTTATTATGCCACCTTACCTGCGCTCCTGCGATGTCACATCTGAGGTAGACACGTGTCCCACATCACACCTCCCCAAGGTGCAGCTGCCAGAGCTCTGCCAGCAAGGCTGATCCCAGCGGTGCCCAGAGGAGCTATTTGGGCAGGAGGTCTCCAAGGTCAGAGCATCTGTTAAGAAGGACAAGCATGAAGACAGGTGGTCTTTGGCAAAGYTGGATTTAGTTATGTGTCATTTTTTTGGCTAAGTGTAGATTAATCCAGAAGCAGACCAACCAAGAAGAGATTGATAATGAGGTCACTTCCATCCCAATAACAAAGGCTTAAGTTGAGGCCACACAACCGGTTTTGTATGTGGGGAGTTTGGCTCACTGAAACAGCTCTCTCAGAGCAGCAGAGTGTCCTGATAAGGGGCTCATGCAGCAAAGCAAGGTCTACTTCCATTTCCCTCAATATGGCCTGGAATTATATCTGAGCACTGATGGTCTGCATGAGAAGAGCCTCTGTTGTACCAGCTCACTGATGGGAGAAATTCTTCTGTGCAAAATCCCAAATGCAGCACTCTCCCTGCTGCTCTGCAGCCCTACAGTGCACAGCTGTCAGTGGCTGCTTTCTATCCTTGTAAGGCTTGAGAGCTGCAGTGAGATAAAGCAACTCAGGAATGCAGGAGAAAGCAACAAATCTGCTGTGACAGGTGGGGCAGTTCAGCCTGGAAAAGAGAAGGCTGAGTGGACACTAGCACAGTTTTCCCACAGAAGCTGTGGGTGCCCCATCCCTGGCAGTGTCCAAAGCCAGGCTGGGTGGGGCTCTGAGCAACCTGGGATARTGGAAGGTGTCCCTGCACATGGCAGGGCTATGGAATTAGCTGATCTTTAAGATTCCTTCCAACCCAAACCATTCTATCACTCTWTGATTTTATTCTCAGTAGCTCTGTTGCTGTTTAAGTTGCTAAACAGGAGCGCCCTCAGCTCAGTAGCCAAGGAGCTGGATGTCTCAGGATGTGCCAATCAGAGGCAATAGGAAGAACATAACTCGAGCTCTCTTGATCCAGCCTGACAAGCATCCTGTCAGGAATATCCTTGGATATACAATTTACACCAACAGCTCCTTAAGTTTTTGTGAACTGCTGCCAGGTTGACAGCCAGCCACATTTTCAGGCCTCTCACTGCAAGTGCTGGAATCATAGTTCAGGTTCCTGGATTATAYGCAGAAATAAATTAGAGCCCACAACAGATTTTCCACACTCAAGCACTATCGAGACTGTTCTGTCAGCTCTTTCTGTATTTCAGGTAAAAGACAGAGAAATGACCAACACTACCCGGTCTTACCTAGCAGAAGGGAGCTATGCCAGTGTGAAACACCCGAGGGCAGTGCCCAGGGAAATTCAGAGTACCAGGTGGGTCCTTCACTCCACCGTCGTTTGGAGCATTGGAGCTGCTAATTGAAAAAAACAAGAAGTGGTGCTGTTCAACCACACTGAATACATTAATGCCACCAACTCCCCCCCACACACAGGCATCTGCATAATGTAACACCAACAGCTACACAAATACATCTTCTGTGGCTTTTTTGTCTCAAGAAGAGCTCATATCTTTAATGGGCAGAACAGTTACAGGAAGAGGCAGGATAATTAAACATTACACTTGCAAAAAAATGTGTTAGTTCAAGCTAGGTCTGGAACTAGATACTACAAAACCAGGCAAGATGAGCACACAGCAGGAGAACCAAAGAAGCCACTGAAAGAAACCCTGTGAAAGGGGCAAAAGAAAAAAAAAAAAAAAGAAAAATCCAAACAATATTAGCCAAGCCAAGAGGTGTCATCTAAAGACAGCATCTGAGAAAATTTCTGCAGAAACATGTGCGCAGCTATCTTTCACCTAATGTTGCTAAGACAATAAAAAATGTAGAAAACATGAGAAGATCTAGTGCCATCTTCAGCCTCTGATCTTTGTCAAACCGTTTATCACACACCTGTGCTATGCTCAGAAGAAATKGGAACCTGGCTTTACAATAAGGTTTGGAATATGCTTTTGTGTGCCTACGAACAYCTGCATGCACATACACACAGATATGGATTTCAAATTCGTTTTAGTGGATGTTTAAATGGGCAAAGTTTCTCACAGGGATTTCAATCYGGTCATGAAGAAAAAAAGAGCAATAAAACCAGCATCCCATTTTAACAGGCTCAGCAATGGTCACAGATAGCACACTTACCTTCCCTTTCACATGTTCAGCTGATGTGGGCAGCAGRGCATACTCAGATTCTAACTCTGCACAGCACTGTTGGAGGAGAGAGAGGGTTTAAGGCAGGCAGGTGAAGAAAACAAAACAAAGATTAAAAAAGGAGAAGGAGCACTGCCACTGATTCTGAGCAAAATGCGACTTTATCTTTGGAACTGAACTGCTTTCAGCTGTCAGTTGCAAAACTGCGACTACAAAACTCTGTAGTTGTTTCCCCTTGCTACTTTCACCTTTAATTCTGCAGACCCTCAGGCACAAATATGAATTTTGTTCACATACAGCTGGCCCAGTTTTGACTGCTCCTCTGATGCCCTGTCACRGCCTAGGAAACATTTCAGGAGCTTCTGTTTGCTGTTATAAATACCTTGTTGTTCTGTGTTGAATGCAGAGCGCTCAGATCCTGAGCTGTAGCATTCCTTACTAGAACCAGTTGGGAAAAAAGACTTTCCACAACGTCTCCCCCTCCACCCCCTTCCAAAGTTGAAGCAAGTAATTTTATTCAAAGCAAAGCACTCCAGAGTTATGTAATTTCCAACATATTTCTCCTCGGAGGGCCACAAAKATAATAACTGTTTCATTGCCTGTTCCAGTATCTGGATACTGAAAAAAAAACTTACACGATGAGATTTTAAGCATTTCTTTTCAAGTCAGTCTGCAGAAGTAGGGCTGGTTGTGGGACAAAAATCACACCAACGCATCAAGGAAGGTTTCCCTCAACCCCTTTTGCTATGATCAAGAATTCCTCGTAGTGAAGACCAACACCACACCTCCAAGTCCTGACACATTTTTCCCAGAAGTTTGGATAAGAAAAATAATGTGCAGATTTGTGTATACAGATTRTGTACATGTTAGAAAAGAAGATGCYACATGCTACCAAATTGTTTGCAGCTCATCTCAGCTGTGTTGCCCTWCCACCAGAGCCCCTCCTGTGCAAGCCCACTTTTCCTCCTCCCAGCAAAGGACACCATACCTGGCACARCAATTCACAGAGGCGCCTCTGCAGCAGTTCCCATCTCAGTGCATTAGCAGTTGCTATGAAGAGACATTTACAAGTCTAACAGGGCTCCTTACAACTTGTTAAGGAGCACTCCAATGTTACAGCATCTCCAACTACTCCTAATCAGAGTGCACTGCAATTTGCATCAGTCTGGTTAAGCCTGCCACAGTTTTTCACAGGAAAGAGAAAACACTGGACATTTTCTTGCCCGTGGTTACATTTCCCCACATCATTAGTGTAAGGATGCCACAGTTCCCTGTGGAAATAGATCCTTCACTTATGGCTTAGGGAAAGAGAAGTATTTATCCTTTCAATCTGACATCCTGTGAGGAAATTTTAAAGTCCATGCTTCTATATTTAGAGGCATTTTCATCTCTTACCACGCAGGTGGGAGGAAGCAGGGGACTGGACTGGGTAGGAGGGAAGGAGACCACAGCCCAGCCCTTCAGCCAGAAGAGGCCTCAGACCTGTCTGGCTTTCTGCAGGACCCAAAATAAAGCATTTTTATTCTTCCTTCACTGCCAGCCTTGTTTGTCAACCCTGTTCTTCATAACTTTTTGCAACTTCTCTACACAKCTGTCAGTTTATTTATCTACAGAAAGATTTCTGCAAATTAACTGCAGTAATTTAAAGCCAAGGTCTCAGCCGTTTTCAGGGTAGTGGTGTTTTTCTGAGGGGGTCTCTTTGGGGGTTGAATTTGTGGGTTATTTTGTTTGGTTGCTTTTGTTTAGCTGRATTTTTGAGGGGGTTTTGTTGGTAGTATTTTTTTGGTCACAGTAGCACCAGTTTCCCATGTCTGGGATTCTCTCTTCATTTGCTCAAACTCACTTTGCAGGAGAGTTTAATCTATGCAGAGCTGGAAAATGACACACTATTTCCACTGTCATGCCWCTTACTAATAAAAAGATAAAGCAGATGCACAGTTTGAGAGAAGCATGAAAGCAAGATGAGCACTCACATGTGAACAGCACCAAAACGCTGATCAGAAGGGGACAAGCACAGTCTGGGCTGTTTCTGCCTAATCACTGCAAAGTTGTGCCTTAGAGCTAAAGCAAAGGGTCCCAGTGAATTTTTTCCTGCAAGATGAACTGTGATTCTCACACGAAGTTGTTTGCAATGCACATTTACATATTAAGCATCAATCACGTTGCCCTGGGAAGTGCACACCTGAGGCCAAACATTCAGAGGGCTTAAATCAGTCAAATCCCTTCTTCATAAGAAAGGGATCAGACTCCAGGGTCAGGAAAGAAAAAAGCCACGTGCTCTGGACTCGGACCACTGCATTATTTAATTGCCCGGGCTATTGAGGTGCTGCTGTCAGGAAGTGAGAGGKAGTCTGAAGTTTCCATGACTCTGTGGCAGAAGTTGCACGTGTACAGCACAGTGACACGATAGCTTTACACTAAAGAGAGCAGCCTAACACCACACAGTCATTCAAAAACGCAGAGCAAACACAAGCAGCAAACAGGACACAGAATATAMAAAAAACAGATCTATTCAGTTCAGGAAGCTTCAGAAAGAGGGATGGCTKTACTAGGAATGAGGTGGGGAATGGCACCTCTGGTAAAGGAGTACCTGTGCCACCAGTGGAGTTATTAATCTTTACTAATCTTTCCTCCTAGGACCAGGGGTTTTGTTGGGAGCTTCTGAAGCTTTGGTGGATCCCAACACCCATTCCTAGGGATCCCACCTGCTCCTCAGCTCACATGGTTGCAGAGCTCTTCAAGGAGAAGAAAACGTAGAAAAAAGGGAGAAAAAAAAAATACACCAAAATAACAAGCAAAACTCCACAGAGCATTTTACTGGATGACCTGAAGATCAATCCTATTCTCCCTTGCTGTAACTAAACCCTAAAGTGCTCGCCCATGCAGAACTGAATGCTGGCRCATTGCCAGCAGTTACTCACTTTTCTGGTGTTCCACCTTCTCCCAAAGCAACTGGCAAGTGCTCGCTAAAGCTGCGTTCGCATCCCTCAGCTTCTGCTGCTCAGAAATGGCTTCCTCCAACTTGCTCTTCAAGGATGCTGCTTCCTCACAAGCAGAGTGAAATGCTTCAACTTGATCCTCCGCCTAAGCACAAAACATTTAGGAAAAGAAGAAAGGRATTAAAAAAAATAAGATAAAGCAGCCTGGCTAACACAAGGAGCCTCTGCAGTTCATGCAAATGAAACTAAACTGCATCTGTTCTTTCTCAGGAAGTGATAAAGCTCCCTCTGAACTTCTGCATTTTTACGTTGGGGTGGACTGTGTATGGAAGCTATTTTTGGGCTTTTTTTTTCTCTTTTCTCTTTTTTTTTAAGCCACCACAAATATGCAATGCTGCCTCTTTCATCAGCAAACTGTTGTCACCACCCCCTCAAATTTTACTTCCTCTGCTGGTTCCACTTTTGCAGGGAGGCACACCATTCGGAACACACGACTCCCTTCCCCAAGGGCAGCCGTGCGTTGTGTGCAGCCCTTTGCCTCCCTGCACAGGGGGACCTGAGCTGTCCCTTACCTGTTTGTTGGCATCCTCCAGCTGCTTGGTGGCTTTTTGCAGCTCTAAAGCCARGGCTTCTGCCTGGCCAGCAGTTTCTTCTTGTAGCTGTTTGACAGTTTCTATCTCCTGTTGCCTGTGGGGTGAGAGAGCACAAACCACAGCCCRTTAGTGACATTTTGGAGCGGGCTGGCCAGGAGGTGACACACTGGCTGCTGGGACACGCACCAAAAGCCAGCTGTCACACACTCAGCTCCCCAGGACCCAGCACCAGGGAATCAGACACTGTTTTTCTACAGCAGGAAGGGGATGAAGGCTGTCCGTGGTGTTTCTGGGTACTGCAGGGGAACCACCAGAGAACTCTCGAAGAGCAAGAGCTCAGTGGGGCAAGCTTTTGCAATTTGGACAACAGAACATGTTCTCTCATGGTTTGGGAGAAAGASTGAGTGGATATAGAGTCAATCATTCTAGAAAAAGATACCCTGGAGCTATTACTACTACTGGAAGAATTTCCTAGTGTTTGAGAGGGATTTGACAGGAAGTAGATGCCATCAGGACCTGTGCTAAAGAGGATGRCTTTCACTGAAACCCTTCTTTCCCACTGCAGAAACCTTTGCCCATTTCCTCTTTAACTCAACTCCAATTTTTTTTGTTGTTGTTACCATCACAAACAATTTTGACACAGAGCGACAGCCTTAAGAAACCAAGCCATCAGTATTTTTAATCAGCTCTTTTCCAAGTGGAGGGAGGGCACGTGGGAGGTGGTTCAGTGGAAGGAAAGTCAGACAAAAAGTGTGGTACAACTGCTCCACATCAGCTCTTGGGGCTGCCAGGTCAAATCCAGGGATGGGGCTTGGAGCAACCTAGTCTGGTGGAAGCTGTCTCTGCCATGGCAGGGGGTTGGAACTGGGTGTTCTTTAATATCTCTTCCAACCCAGATCATTCTGTGATTTTATTTGTATCACCAAAACTCATAGCACAGCCCATGTGCCAAAAACAGTTGTATTTTCATATTTAATGACAACTCATTGAAGCTGCACCCTTGARAAACTGACACATCATCTTGCCTGGGCCCAGCAAGTATATCCCAAAACAACAGCTGCAGACAGGTAATTTACAGCTCTCCTGCTTCACACAATCCCAGCAGTTTTTTTAATGGTTGCACCTACTAAATAGGCAGTGCCCTCCTTACTCTGACTTCTCGGTCTGTGGCCTCCCTGGTGCTTTCACCTCCAAGACTGTACATCAGCTCAGACACAAACCTTTMCTCCCACACAGTGTACCCATTGTGCTAAAACCAGATCCACTCTCCAAAACAGAAAATCATTTCCTCTGTGAAAAAAAAAATCTTGAGAATTCAGTAGACTTTGTTCCACAAAATAAACCCGAAAATAAAATGCTAACCGGCTAAGCAACCAGTAATAAAAAAACAACCGAAACCCAACCTCTACAAAAAAAAAAAAAAAAAAAGACACACATGCTTTGAAGGGGTACCTAGCAGAGAGCTCTCTCCTGAGGTGCAGCTGTTCAGTCTTGGTTCTCCTCAGGTTGCCTGCCATTCGAATAAAATCCTTGTCTAAGGACTCCTTGCATTTTTCCAAGAGCTGGAGTTTCTGGGTCCAAAGATGCCTTTTTTCTCCCAGCTCTTGCTTGAGAGCCTGTGGAATTTTGAAGTTGCCACGTGATTAGAGGAGGAGCAGAGCCAGAGAAAGAACCTGAGTCTCAATTTACACGATGAGAATAGAGGTCCCTGCTCCACTGTTTAATATCATCACCTACATCCCACACCACCAGCAGTAAAAGAYAAAACTCCACCAATGAGATGCCCAGATACAGTTTTTGCTCCTGTATCTCATAAGAGATAGTTTTAATAATGATCATCTTGCAGGAAGCCAATTTAGACTTCTATGCCCCTTTCCTCAAAGTATAACTAAATCCACTGGGACCAATTTGAGTTTGTATTGCAGCAAAATAAACAAAATAACCAAGACCAAATAAAACCATATTTCAGTTTATCATACATGCCTAGCAAATGATTTGTCTCAGGGATGGTTCCCATGACAAAGGCTTTTAGATTTACCTCTGGATTTTAGGAAGRAAAAGGAGAAGAGGGTAAAAATTAGGTCTCTGAACAGCAACTTGCAGTGTAAAGTACAGAGAGAATCCAGCGTTCTCTCTCTCTGACCTTGCTCAACTTGAACACATGAAATTGAGCCCTCAGCCTTTAAAGAATGCTTAATGAGAGTCAAACAGAGGTCAGGAACGAATGAAGTTTATATTTCTGTGATTTTGCAACAATTCTTAGGGTAAAACATGAGCCTTACAAATACAGGCCATGCTATCTGCTGCTTGCAAGTTGGAGTCTGATGTTTATGAGCTTCAAATAAGTATCATGCTTTAAAAAAAAATTAGAATAGTGGTTTTTGCTGATAGGTTCCCTACAATGGCATGGGATGTGACCATGTGCAACTGCCCACATCCTGAGCATCTGTTTCCCAACCAAGGCAAGCAGCTTTCAGTTGCAGAAATACCATGATTTTGACACTTAAGTGGTATAGGCTTATCAAGGCAYGTGTGCCAGTCTTATCTTCCAGCAGAAGGGTGAAAAAGCTTTTGCTGTCAGTATCTATATACTTAAATAAATGTATAGATGTACAAATACATAAGCACACATCACATTCACTTTATGTACAATATCCTTTAAAACACATTTGAAAATACAAAACCCCACCAAAACATGGCCATAACTTATTTCACAGGAAATGGTGAGCAAGCATTCAGGCTTCTAGTGACAACTTTTGTTGACAAACTAATTAAATAATGCACTTTCTCTGAGGCTGGAAGAAGAAACTATGAATTTCTCTTTTTTTTCAGATCTACTCTTATTCTGCTCCATACACAAAGTTTCACACATATCTGGCTTGTTCTGTCAGGATGAAGACTATTTTTGACATGAAGTCACCTCCCATCCCCCACGGGAGCCTAAAGGATGGGACCTTTAATTTTTAAAGTATTTTATTCTTCCCTGATCCTCTGTTATCTGAGTTTCCAAATGCATCACTCTTTAGGAGCCAGAATAGGATTCATTTGCCACGATCAAATCCAACCCCCACACCAAAACTTTGCAGCTTCACATGTTTAACAGGAATATGATCCCAATGTGAATGTGACTTAACAAGTATTTTTCAGCTCTGACAGCTTTGAAGGAGGAGGTTTTCAGTCAAGATCAACAAGCTACAGCAATTCATGAGCCAGCAGATTCCTTGAGTCTACCCAAAGTCACATCTGGGTGAAGAGAATGAGATRCTTGACCCTTCTCTAAAAGGAAGATTTCAGGGTTTACCTGAAGAAAAATCCTAAAAAAACTGGCTCGAGGATTGGATGGCTCCCAGTGATTGCTCCAGCCCTGCCCAGGAAAGACTGAGAGGCCCAGCTACAGCATTCAGCAGCACTAGAGGAGAAGGGAGATTTTCTGCCCAATGTACCGCCAGCTTCAAGCCACACATCCCCTGGAGCCACCTGCTGTTACCCAAGGGAGATTAATTGTGGGGCCTACAATTAATCCACTACAGAGTTGAAAATCAGCATTAACATACAGCTTGGTAGTGTTGGAGCATTCCCAACAACAGATCAGCAGGCAGGAGCAGGTGAGAGAAAAAGCCATATCCAATAAGATGGAAACTTCAGAAATGGTGGTGTTATAGGGGAGAGGAGGAGGGAATAAGAGCATGAGAATTTCCTTGTGTCCACAGGCACCTGCTACCACAGGGGGAAAACATTTTTACCAGCACCTTGAGCAAAAGTCTTTACTTGTAAGCCTCACAAGAGGTATGAGGAATAGGAGAAATACATTACGMAAGATTAAGTTGTAAAACAAGATTTTGTTGAAACTCTTCCTGTAGAATATGCCCAGCAAAGGCAGAATTATTCTCCTTTCAAAATAAAGTAAACCCTGTGGAGGTTTTGATTTGGAACTTTGGTTATAAAACCACATTCCCTCTCCTCTTGAGGGAGAGACCATCCAGTGCCGTCACCAAATTCAGAGCACGGGGCAAATGGGTTCAAGGCACACAAGAGAGAGGCAGCAGGCAGAAAAGCTCCATTGTTCACAGAATTGCCACCCCAMCTCATTTTCCTCTCCTAACTGACCTGTTTCATCTGCCCTTTCCTTCAACCACAGTTTGTACAAAGGGAGCTCTTGCACAAGACAAGCCAGGAAGAGCACAGCATGTAAACAAACAGCAAACATCCTTTTCCCTCCTCAAAAATCCTACAGTGACAGAAGATACTTCTCTCCATTTCTGACCCACAAATGGACTCTGATCTCCAGTAATTAATATGCACAGCATGCAGCATCAAGATATGCACCTGAAATTTTTGCTCAGCCCCACCATTTCACTAAAGGCTTCAGAGAAACAGTTACTTACCACGAGTTTTCTTTCCCAGGCTTGTTCCGTGTCCTCATCAGGATCTTTTACCCATTGTAATGAAACCATGACAAGCTCCTCTGCTTCAGAGGCTTCCTCTTGCTGAAAAACAAAACAAACCCTAAAACAAAAACCCCCAATCTCTGGCATATTTAGTGCTCATCCAGCACAACTCTCCCCAGAATTACCTACGATATAAATTAGTGATAGAGTAGGTGCTAAGTGATGTTGTTAAACTATGCCCCCCTCTGCTCTCAAACAATTCTTATTTTTTCAAGAGGAGCAAACATAATCTGATTGGCAATGCCTAGAGAAATTAAATTAATTTAGATTAATTAATTAAATTAATTTCTGGTCAAACACCACATCCTAAATCCATGTAAGCTTCGCCACTGACCAGGTTTTGCATGATAGCCTTGAATTTTTCTCCTGCATATTCAGGCCCCTGAAGCAAAAGCAGCACTTCACGGTCCAGTGTTTCATCCAGGGACGTCCATTCAGTCTTGATAAACTTTGAAGAAATGGAAGAGCCAGATAGTTTATTTTGACATCCCCTTATTACAAACCAGCATCAGTGACATTTAGACTTTCCTGTATTTACTGGAAGGTCAGAGCTACTGAAACTTGAGGTTTGGAAAAGCTTTTCCAAAACCACTGAGGATTTAAAAAAAAAAAAAGGCAAGCCAGCCAAGCTGCTGAATGATCCAACGTAAGTATTCATGTCAGGGTAGGCAAGGGGAAGTCAGTAATTAGTTATCTTTATTCAGAAGAGGCATTACCAAGTGATGAATAAGCAGAGCCCTTCCTTGCTTTACAGGTGACTCTGTGGGATCGTGTCTCACTGCAGCCTTTGAAGGGCAAACACTGTGACTCACTGGGGTTCTGGGGAGCTGCAATATGGGATAACTCTCCAACAAAGCTGCCTAGCCAAGCCTACCACTCCTTTCTGGGCCTAAAGTTTTACTCCATTGATATGGTTTTGGTTTTTTGTTTTTTTTTTTTTGTTGTCAAAAATGCAAACTCTTTGCAAATGTACCTTGTCGAAAAATAAGCAGCTGCCCAGTGGTGTCTTATGAGAAAAATCACTCAGCAGCATCTGTCTGCTGTCAGCTGAGCTGCACAGCTCATGTCTGAAGGGAAAACAGCACACAGGGAAGAATGGGACTCCATGGATTGGCTAAGGAAGTGGGAACAGAATAGCTCAGCTAAAAAYCAGACCMAACACMRTAATTGTAGCWGGATGCTCTGCYTAAGAGGGGGWAAAAYAATACCCTGCCYGCAAAAATTATCAGTGGTGGATAAAGAAGGGGGGATCATGCTGCTKTTGGTGTTGARGAATGCCAAGACCAGCCTGATTCCTTGATCCCAAAATTAAAATTCTGGAGGATGCAAAGAACAGTGTTCCCTGACAGAAACTGGCACCAGTGAGGAAGCGGCACAAAAAGCTCCTGAACCAATTGAAATGGCACAGAGGACCTGGAAAGATCTGAATGCCAGTCAATCACTTTACACCATAAAAACCCTGTCCCACTCTTTAAAGTCAGGGACCTGTGATGCACCCCTTCAAGCAGGGTGTGTGTGGAGATTCCTCCCCTGAGTGGGGASRCCCCTCAAARTTACTCCTCAAACYGAATAACAGAGATTTGCYCATGGTCATCAGCAYRGCTGARTAAYAAAAATTCTATCTAACCATTACTAGCTTTGAAATCATTGATTTAATRGCTAGTGCACTGTACAAATAATAAAAACTGTGTTCAACAATTCAGATTAAAGTATTTTAGTCTAATCATTATCTTCTATTTAAATAAATRACTTATTCATTTAAACATCTTTTACAGCAAACCAAATATATTTATCAGATTTTCTTAACAATACATCATTAGATAAATACCCTACAACTTTATCAAGATGCTCACTCTAATGCTGTATTTCTTTTCTCACAACATTTGACTTCAAAGAAAAAGAAGYCTCCTCTTTCACAACCAAAAATTCATTCTTAATGTCTGGTGTAGGCAGCACAAGAAGCAGACTGTCAAGTACTTTCTGCAGCATAAAAACCTTCATATGTTTGAAAACTGATATCTTTTCCCATCAGTCTGTTCTTCTGCCAGCTAAATGCATGACCGAGGCTCCTCCAGATTGACTTTGTAGAGCAGAGGTRGGGTTTGGAACAAGATGATCTTTAAGGTTCCTTCCAACCCAGGCCATTCTATGATAATATGAGCTAATTTTGTTATAGCTGCAAGGGTTTGGCTTGGTCTTCTCTGGACTTTCTCCAATGTGCTTGGGACAATATTGCAATCTTCTTTCTTTCTGTGCTTACATTGCTAGGATTGATGGCCTCAAATTCCAGGGTTATCTAATCATCTACAGGGAATGAGGTTTGTTCTGCCTCTGCTGAKGCAAGGCAACTGGGAAGAGATTAAKATTTAATTCATACCTCAGAAGACTGTGCAAGCTCCAGTTCACAGTGCAGTGAATTCATCCCTTCAGGAACATTGCTATTAAATTTACACAACCAGGGGAAACTTAGCCCATTTCTAGAAGAAGAAAGGAAAAAAAAAAATCACATATCAATCCTTTTTTTGACTTTTGATGAACTGCCTTTCYTGGGATTTGTTCACAATACTCACGAGATCAGCTCTTGCTGCATGTGTTGGATGTTCTCCAGGAGTTTATTTTTTTCTGCCCGCAGTGTCTGAAAAATCCATGGYGTTTGGTTGGAGGGTGACTCTGTAAAATCAGCACAGGCCCTCTCTCACACAGCCCAGACCAAACCCATACCTCTATTATCGAGGAACACTCCACAATGGTTAACTTGAGCTCCTTGATGTCCTGCTCCTTCTGCAGAGATTGTGGAGAAAAGAACCAAAAAAAAAAAAAAATCACTATATCCAATCCTACATCCCAGCAGTAAGATATATGATTTAGTTTGAGCAGCAACCTGATCATGACATAAAAATAGTTGCAAATTTAAGAGAATACAGTGGGTTATCTTGCATGTTTACTAAAACAAAGCCCTCAGATGACCTTTTCTAACTAACTTCTAAAATTAAGGAGACACACACTTTTCCAGGTGCTGTAGTTTAATCATTTACTTACCTGGTTTCAGTACCAACATCTTAAACTACACAGAAGCACTGTAGTTTTAGCTTAAATCATGGTCTGCATTATATGCCAGCATGAGTTTTARCTTCCACTGCCCCTTAAAACTAATTGCAACATTCTGAATTTAATTATTTTTCATTAGAGTGTAGCACTCTGTCAATTAAACATGACCTAATAGAAGGGCTGATAGAGTCAGGCCTCATGGTAGGACTGAGGAATTGATAGAAGCAGAACCTTCCTTAAAAACCAGCAATGAGCTCCAGCCAGTTTATGCCATTCCAATAGAAGACATTGCATAGACAGCAGAGAATTTCTAAGAGAAAACAGGAATTTYAAGTAAGAGCTCTTGTCCTCTCCCACTTTTAGGAGTTCTTCCGACTCTTTCTTTAAAAATCATTGAGGTTTTTGAAAGAGATGAAGTGCACAGAAAATTCAAACAGGAAACATGAGATTGTAGAACCAGATCATCCTAATGCCAACAAGTCAGTCTTCCACAGCAGTTGCTTCAAAATTATACCAACCAGTCCCATTTATCATCATGGAATCTAGCAGTCTACTTTMAAAATTCCCATTTAGTAAATAGACTGTGAGAGTCTTGTTGAAATAAAATTATATGACAGAGTTACTATTATTATTATTATATAACTCACAAAGTTTAGAATCATTCAAGGAGGAGAAAGTGAAAGCTACTTAAAAAAAAATTAATAAATTTATGCCCTTAGGCTGCTTCTGGAAAAGCAACCAGGAAAACTATTAAAACATTCAGCTACAAAGTTATCAGCTGGATTACACCAAAGTTCAGTTTTTTGTTGCTATTTGAATTCAGCTGCAGCCACTTTGCAGGCAGCCCAATAGTCAAATATTTTATCAGATTTATAGCRTGTTCTGCTAAGTAGAAGTTCCGCTGGCATTGAAGGCTCTTTGCATAATTCATGAATCCAAAAAAATGCCAACATGCCTGTGTAGTCTTATGTCTTTGGTTTCTAATATAAAATGCAAGTTTAAAAACATCAGAAATTTTCACTCTTCAACAGAGCCTGAGTAATTACACCTCAGTAATAAAAGGACAAATTTGCTTTTCCATTGGGCTCCAAGTCACCATTTCTCATTTGACATAATTTCAGTAAAAGACATGAAGGGGAAGACCTTCTGTAGGTACCTGCTAAAGGAGTAGCCTTTAAAAGTATCTGGACATTTTTTTCTGAAGTTTGCAGGTCTGTTTGATCAGGTTGTGATTTAAAAAAGAGAAAAATAGAAGAAGCATGCAAAATCCTGAAACCTTTAATTATGCTGACTCATAACCAGGTCCTAAAGTGGAGCTCGCCTACTTGGAAGCCATTTATAGGATCAGGTTCTGCAATGTGAGAAGAGTAGAAATAAAAGTGCCACAGTGAATACTATTGCTTTGCCTTTTTACAAATCATCTCACAGACCAGAAGCCTGGGGTGCTGGAAGATTTTCATACCCATGGCAGGGGCTTGGAACAAGGGATCATTAAAGGCCCCTTCAAACCCAAATCATTCCATGATWCTGTGGTTTTCAATCAATAATGGAATAAAAGCAACTAACCTGGATCAGGCTTGCCTCTTTATTCACCACAGTGCTCTCATAGACATGGGCTTGGATCTGAACAAYGAAAAGATCAAAAGTAAACTCAGCTGTCAATACAGTTTATAACATAAGTCAGTTCCTATTTCCCCCAGGAGAGGAAAAAGTATCAATGTTCCTTCCATAAAAAACTCTAATTTTTCTTTGAATACCTTGTGGGGTATGTTTCAAAGTACAGATCTTGTACCCAGCAAAGAGTGAAAGCATTTTCAACTTTCAGTCCTCTTGGTTTCGTCTCATCTGTCCAGGTCCAATATTTTCAGCAACATCACCCAAACCATGCCCTTAATGTTTTCTCAAATAGTGGGGATAAGGTTTCCTAAAAGTTTAACTTGGAGGAACAAATGAAACTGTGGATTGTTTCTTCTAGCCCAGTTTTTAGCCTCCAGACAACAACTTCYTTAATCGAAGCTGTAACACCATCCAAACTACTCTTTCACTGCAGTCCTTCCATATATAGAGGTTCAGGGCTGTCTGCCTTCCAGAAGCAGAAATTCCCCCTTCACCAGACCCAAGTACAGGCTGACTTTTTATTCCTCACAGCTTCMAAATGCTTACTTGAAGTTGTGCTGTGTTTTTAGACAGCTCCAAAATCTTCTTTTGCAGCCCRTCAGTGTCCATGCTATTCCTAATAATCTAAACAAGACAAGAGTGTTTAGGCACAGCTGAATGGATTGACAGCTTCTYCTTGAAGAAACCAGGCAAAATGACATCACCACCCCCAAGCTGCTGCCTACTCTTGAGCACCACCAATATTTTTCCACATACATTGCATGTGCTTGCCCCACCAAAACTGCCTCTGCTCCTTTTTCCCACCCAGAGCACTGGTAAAAGAGAAAACCCTCAAAATGGGATTTACAACCACTACCAGACATAAAAAGCTAAATAGAAGTCAGTCCTGCAGCAAGAGAATTATTTTCAGAAGGAGGTGGTTTCATAGCTATTTGGACTAAGGAGTTTTTCAGRAAGACTGGTCTTAAGGTCTTTATTTTCATTAGGATGGGTGATTTAACCTGTTTCTCTATTTCCCCCTAAATAGTCTGAAATACAAYCTATTAAAGCATTTTATCACCTGATAAAAACCAGTTTATATAATATGTGCTCTAATTAAGTGAAGAAAGAAAAAAAGTAAGAATGAACAGCTCTCCTCTGAATTAAAAACAAGCCTAGGGATATTCTACTAATGGAACTGTATTCCCCAAAAACCTCCTGCAGGTTCTTGGCCATTGTCAATGGATCCATCTCTGAGTGGAGATCCYGCCCACTGCTTTTTATTTTCATATTTTTGGTGTTACAGCCCTATACAAGGTTCATCCTTTGAATCTTAAGGGAGAAAAACAGAAGGGAATACAAAATAATAGTGTTGGATGGGGATTGTTTCAATATAGAGTTTGTGTATTTATAGCTGYGGGAAGAACCAGAAATATTTGGAAGTTGCCTATAAATCTTGGAAAAATGGTAGTGGGAGGGAGAAGTTTGTCCCTGTGCTTCCCTAACCTCATCTCCTTACTTAGCCAGCAAATGGAAAATCTGAAGCACAGTGCAACTTCAAGATATGAAGATTTTTTGACAAATCACCCTTTTAAAATGTTAGATACCTTGATAACCTAATTAACATGCAAGGCTTCAAAATCTGATAAATATTTCATTTCTTAGTGGCAAGTTTTAGCTAGGCAAGAATATGTAAAATCACCATTTATTTTACCTCTTCCTGGAGAGAAGTAACTTTGATGTTGAGAGACTGATTTTCTTTTTCCTGATCAAGTTTATGGGAAGAAAAAAAAAAAAAAAAAAAAAAAAAAAAAAAAAAAAAAAAAAAAAGAACAGAAAAAGAGAAAAACAAAATAGTTGGGTTTAGCATGTCATGTTCAACAGTCAAAAAGCAACAGACCACAAACACATCCAGAGCCCAAGATGAAGCTGTGGTGTTGAATCCCTTTGTTTTAGAGAGCACAAAAAGGGGACAGCTGAGTCTGGTGCAGCTCATGAACCCTCACTGAAGGGCTTGACTCAGGCATTTCAAACTCAGGCATTTCAAACCAGAGCTCAGGGAACAGGGATTTAAAAGCACAGCTACAACATTTCCAGTAATATTTCTCTCTCCCGCCCCATCTCCTCCTCACAGGGTGAGTTATGCCTGTAACCTCAAATTAAAACAAAACCAGAACACACACACACTGCAGCAGGATGGCACAAAAAAATATTCCTGTTTTTGCTTAGCATGGAAGACTTYTTTTTGATCCTAAATACCCGCCACCAGCAGTGCACAGAGCTCTGGAGCACCACAACACCAAGATGGGACTGTGGTGTGAAAAACACTCATGGCAGCAGCAAAAAAATGTTCTCTGCAGAGCTCTGGGGTTTGGCAACACCTGCCAAAGCTGCAGCCACAYCAGCCTGGGCACCAGGTTGCTTTACAGCTCCCACAACTGGTACAGAGAAGGTCTCATTTCTGATATTTTACAGCCTGAGCAGTCAGGCCAGCACCACAGCGAGGTGTGAGATACTGTACGAGGCAAACTAAGAAGAAAGAGCACCCACTAGCTGCTTGTTCTGCCACAGTATCTGCTCTCTCTTCTCTTCTGACAGGTTCAGGTTGTTCCTTGCTTCTTCAAGGTCTTCTTCCAGCGATTTGGCTTTCAACACAGAGTTCTGGATGCTRCACAGAGGGAAGTAAATCCAGAGAAACTTTAGCCAGTTAATGGTGGTTGTTTACATAGGCTTGAAATAGAGTATTTTTAGAAGCCACCAGGGACTTGTGTTCTGGCAGAGAAACTTTACAGAAGAGAAATAATCAAGTTTAAGCCTATCATTTCTGTTCAGGAAGCAAAGGCTCATGGATTTAGGCCTCTATTCATTACCCCTTCCATTCTCACAGTGAGGGATAAAACCCTGGGCAAACAAAGCACCCAAGACAGATGGATGCAAACAAAGCTGTTAAATATGTTAAAAAATGTAACTTGTTACAGTTAAATATATCAGGTTAGCTGAGCACGTAAACTCATCTTCACAACACTTCACAGTTAACAGCTGGGGAAACCATTTCAGTTCCATTTTCAAGGACAAGCTCTGCACCATTTTCTTCCCCTGATCTGCTAAACCCCAAACCGTGTGTATTRAAGCACCAAGCAAGGCCCTTTTCCAGGCTAACTCTGTCCTGCACAGCATCACAGAGCAGGTGGTCCCACACAAGGTCCCACATCCCATGCCAGCTACCCTGCAGAACCCTTGCCTTAATCTCCCCTGAAAACCCTAGGAACAGTTTGGCAGCTGACCAAAATGTACCATGGTTTAATTAATTAGGTCAGATAAACAGCATGAAAAACAGGCTTATTCTCATGGCACTGACCTGTCTCCAGACTACAAAAATGCTGAACAAGTGAAACAACACACCTCAGTTCCTCAAATGAGTAGCAAAACAGCTCTTAGACACTCATTTCCCCTCTGCTTGGCAACATGAATGTGGTCTAGGATTGGAAGCTTTCCAGTGCTTAGCTGTTTTCTTGGTTATWTTGTGCCCACTTTTTTAAAATTGTTGTTGTTATTTTGTTTGTTTGGTTGCTTGCTTTAGCCTGAGATTTTCTCAGCATGCACCCACAACACCAAATGCTGCAATTTCCAGGCTCTAAGATAATGATTTTATAAGAACCAGGAGGGACAGGGCAGAAYAATCAGGTAAGAGGGCTAAACCTTACAGATCCTACACAAAGTCAAGAATGTCACTGTCATGAAGTACTGGTGAGGAGAAAAGCATGAAAGCAAGGCTGGAAGAACACAGCTCTGCCCATGGCAGAGGCCTGGTGCCGTCAGGCTCTCCCACCTTTTCAATTGTTGCCGTAGATGCTCGTTATCTGCCAAGAGCTTGCTGTTGGTCTCATCCACAGCTTCCAGGGTGAGCTTCAGCTTGTTGTTCTCTTCCTGAAGTTTCTGGTTGCTGTACTGCAGGTCCGCAACGCAGGTTATCAAATCAGAAGTCTCCCTGTCCACACAGCAAAGCCAGGAAAGATTGAGAGAGGTGATTTGATCTAATTCAGACTTTTAAAACATCCTCATGCACTGATTAGAGGTGCAAGGAGAGCCCACAGAGGATTTGTAATGCTGCAATGTCAAGTCATTTGCTCTGTGCAGAGGTACTGGAATCTCTTCAGGTCAGTTCTCCAGTTATATGGGCACCAAGAACAGTTTCAATTTCTTTCTGCTACATACAACTGAAGTTTGCTGTCAGACAASTGGCATAACTGGATGTCTGCATGAGAATACCTTAAGATTTGGCTAACCACCTCTTGGGCCACTAATGRTGTTTTTGTATTCACTACAATTTCTTTCTTTTCCTCCAAGCCATCCCTCACTTACGGTTTCTACCAAAACTTGAATGAGGAACACTCATTTGAGATCTTGAAGTTATATGGAAGCACCAGAGAGCAGATCTCAGATTTCTGACTATGTGTGAACTGCAAATGAAACTTCTGCTCTTTGTTAAGAGCTTAGCCATTAACAGAGTCCAAGTCACAGACATAATTATTACTACAAAAAAACCCCAAACCTCAACAAGCTCCCTACAACAAGAAAAACGATCCCAAACAAAACCCAAGACCAGATTTTCAGGACAGAATGTATTCTTACTGTCAGACAACTAAGAATTGGTGGAGGGAAGAAACCAGTTTAAACAGAGAAAAACATGGCAAATCTCTGACCACAGGGAAGTGAAAAGGCAAAGGGACACAGAAGCACCAAGATATCAGTGGGAAAAATTACTGGTGTGTTCRTAAGTCTGAGTAGAAGCTGTGAGGAAGGAGGTGACAGCATCAAGAGCTCCTGCARACTGAGGTGAGCATTAAACTCTTCAAGGATAGTGCTCTGAAACAGACGTGCTAGGAATTTCTGACAAGTGATTCAAAGCTRGGGGTACTACATTCAGAGAAGGAATTGCTTAAATGGACTCACATGTCTCCTTTAGACACATCACCCCCAAAGGCCTCCAAGCTTCCCGCTGTAACATTCATCCGCCCATGTGTCCTTTTGGCTGAAAGAGGTGGGATTTGGTTATAGAGCAAGAAAGTGAAGCTTTCCCAAACAGAGAGTAAAATGTTCTGCACCTTCAGAGACATTTCTAGGCACTTGAAATTCCAGGTCTTCCATGCTTGCTGATGATTCCTCAGTGGCACCATCTTCCCTGAAACAAAGAAGCATCAGGGGTCACAAAATCAGCAGGACACTGGTCTGCTTACCAACCTTGTAACACTTCTGAAATTTTAGCCAGACCCAATATTGTGAGCACAGTATCCCAAAGCCATCTTCTTTCCAGARTATGGAAGGTAAAGTTTGTACTCTCCTGTTTTCACAGAAAGCTTATGAGATAGAGTCATTAAAATGCTGTTACCATTTCCTCTTACGGYCTTCAATCCACTCTCCCATGACAGCATGATATGTTTCCAGGTCCATGGAGATGTCTTTGTGCTCTGGGTCGAGCATGGTGCACAGCTCTTCAAGACCACTGTCCTCTGATCCCCGACTAGTTGTATGCCTCAAATAATCAATTAGTTTGGACACTGCCACTTTTCCTAAAGCAGAAACAGGGYTCAGACTCCAAAATCTGGCAAGGCATTTTAAGAAATGGTAAAAGACCACTCTGTTTTAGTGCCCTATATCCAATCACCCCCTCAAGAGTTGTAGACAAGCAACTGATCCCTGCAGCTGTAGCGTGAAAAAAAGTTGTTTAGAACTCTTTTTGGCTGGGTTGGGGTTTTTTTTTGGTGGTAATGGCATTTTTGTTGTTTTTCTGATATAGAAATGTAAAAATCCAGTTTACTAGTTTTGCAGACTTCAGTTTAAGAGGAACAAAAGATGATACATGATACTCATCTTTGCTCTCAAGGCCAGGCTGGACYRGGCTCTGAGCAATTTGGGATTGRGGAAGGTGACACAGCTGGCAGGGTTGGAACAAGATGATCTTTCAAGTCCCTTCCAGCCCAAACCATTCCACATTTCTACCACTTTTARTCATGTTTGAGATGGACCTGGGAGGAACTGCCTTTTGCTCTGAATTTTCCCAAGTTTCTACCAGGATAAAGGCTAAAAGAAAGAAACAATCATTTTCAATAAGGGTGATTGTTAGAAACATGTTGTTCCTCTATTTCCCCTGCACTAAAACACTGCAAAGATCAACAGGGGAAGGATCAGGCACCATGCAAAAGAGGCACAGACATTTATCCACTTATTCTGCATCTGCCACAACACAGGCACCTCACTAAGGGAACCTAAGCACATCAGAGATTGGCATCTCTCAGGGATCATAATATAATTTGAACCTTGGAAATCTCTTGGGAGGAGAACGAAACAGCAATGAAAACCCCCAGCAAACCTGTGTGATGGATGTCACAGGCACAGAAGATCGTGGTCAGCAGGTCTTCTTCACAGATCAAGCTCACATCGTRCATCTCATCAGCTTTGTACCCCAATGTCTGCCTCCCCCCTATGAGGAATAAATCTGTTACTGCCCATCTTTATTC